TGTGGTTGGCAAATATATAAAAGAATGTATCTTATTTTCAATTTTGTGGTAGGGCACACATGCAGGTTAAGATATTAGCTTTTTCTTATAAATTTTCTGGGTTGTTATTTCTAATTTTCAAATAACTTTGATAAGTATAAATCTCCTTAGTTTTATAAATTAATCTTATCTTCCTTTTGGAAATATATTTTTTTTCATCAAATTTGTTTTTTTTTTTTCCTAAGAGCTTTAAATTTTTTATGGTTCAAATTGTATGTGTAAGACTGGAAAACGCCACACCACATGACACAGATTACCAAAGATTTTCCACTTTATTACAAAAGGCTGTGTGTTTATATAGGTGTGAGGAGAGGTTGCAGGGCTGAGGTAGATAACAAGTTGCCCGTTTATTGGCAAGCTCTTCCATATGTCAGTTCTGGAGCCCAAGAAGTGAATTCTAATTTGGGCTAATGCTTCCCACCAGCAGGGTTTGAACATTGGCACCTGCGGGAATATTTGGAGCCAGTGGAAAAAAACAAAGAAGAGAAGGAGAGTCCTTAGACGCCATGCTGGGGTTTTTCTCTGGGGTGCGGCTGCTGTCATTATGTTTTCCCAAAAGTATGTTACTTTCTCTTAATAAATTTTAACTTCTACTTCATACAGGTCTGATTTTCAGAATTTCATATCACTGTTTTTATTAGTTTTCCCGCCTTCTATAAGAATCTACCATCAACTTGGTTGGCACAACACACATTTATTCTCTTAGCACAAAGGGGAACAAATCCCAAGCATGCTTTATTAGGCTAAAATCAAAAAATAATTCAATATTTGCCTTTCCAGCTTTAGAGGCTGTCTTCATTTCCACATTCATTATAGGGTTTTTGTTGTTGTTGTTCTTATTCTATTATCTGTCTCTCTCTTATAAGGATCACTGTGATTAGTCTGGATCCACTGGGTAATCTAGAACTCAAGATCTTTGAGTTAATCACTCCTGCAAATTCCTTTTTTCCATATACTATTTTATTGAATTGTGTTCCTCCAAATTCATGTTTAAGTCCTAATTTTGAGTGCTAATGAATATCATCTGATTTGAAAATAAGATTTTTTTGCAGATGTAATTAGTTTCAATGAGGTCATGCTGGAATAAGCTGGATTGCTTATAAGTACAATATGATTAGTTCCCTTATAAAAAAATAATGTCATGTGAAGAAGCAGGGACTCACACAGAAGGAAGATGATGGGAGGAAACCCAGAAAGAATATGAGCATCTATAAGCCTGAGACTATCAGAGCTAGCAGACATGCTGGAACAGATCTTCCTTAGAGCCTTTTAGGGGCATAGACTTTCTAGCAGCTTGATTTCACATGTCTGGCCTCCAGCACTGCAAGACAATGAATTTCTATTGTTTTAACTCCCCCAATCTGTGGCACTTTGTTATGACAGCCCTAGGAATCTAATATACACCATGTAAGGCTACAAACTCACACACCTTGGGCATTGTGATATGGGCAGCTTAGGTGCCATTATTCAGCCTATCATATTGCCCAACTACTTTCTGTTTTCCATTATCAACATTATCAAGTTATTTTTTATTTTTTTATTTCTTCAAAAATAATGAGTGTTGAATTCCTCCTTCTTTTGCTTTGCTTTTGTTTCCTGTTTGATTAATATTTGTACATTTTATTATTTATTGAAATATGGATTATACATTTAAAAAATGACTAGTAAGTATCAAATTACAGGAAACTTGAAAACTAGAAACAACCTTGAAAACCACACTCCTGTCAAGAAATAGATCATTTCCTTCCTTTATTCCATCAAGATCACTTGTGTCTAAATAACTACTGCTCCATAAATATGACTATTTTCTGCTTGGTTTCTCTATGAATTGTTTTGCTTATTCTAGAATTTCACATAAATGGAATCAAATAGTATGGACCATTTTATGAGTGGCAATTTTGCTAGGCATAATGTGAATGAGATTTATTTGTATATAATTATGTATATTAATCATTCAGTCCATTTTATAGCTGATTAATATTCCATAAACATATACAGCACAACTGATTAAATCTTTCCTTGTGGGCAGTTTCTCTTGATTGCTATTATAAGGAAAG